ATTAACCAAGTGTTCAGTTAAAATTCACTCCCAATTGCCACTGGCCAAAGCTGTACCTAAATTCAAAACTATGAAAACTCAAGCAACTCATCAAGTATTCACCACACAATTACATGCTTGGTTAATACAAGACATTCACCAAATGAAATCACATATTGCAATGCAAAATCACTAAGTGGCAGAAATTTCCAGCAATAAAAGGAAGTGAAATTCAAGTCAACAATCTTGTTTCAATACTAACAATTACAACCAACCATGAAACTAAAGTCAAATTGAACCACAATCAATAATAGTCATAGTATTCTAATGGAATTGAAACAAGATGAAGAAATAGTTGAGCTTAGCCAAATGAAGACTTCAAAACTCCTCTTCCATCAACTCCTCCCTAGGATTCCATGGAGAATTTAGCTAGAAAACATCAAAACCATCTTACTCCTCCAAGAACTAGACATAGCCAAGTAGAGCTCCATGGAAATAGTGGAATCAAGCTTTAAATCTCCTTGCAAGTAGTAAGGATAGGTTTATCCAAGTAAGAGGAATAGAATAGTGGTGGTTTTGTGGAGGTTTGATGGCTGAATGTGGAGTTATGGGTGCTGGAAAAATGAAGAAAGTAGAGAGAAGGAGGAGAGAAGGTGGAGAAAAATGAAGAACAAGATGAACTAGAGAGAGAAAATGTGAAAGATGAATGAATGAGTATTTAATCTGATTTGAGGGGGTAAATGGCGTGCTTATTCTGTTTTGGCACAGCTGAAACGTAATTAAAAAAAGGAAAAGAAATTAAAATGGAAATGGGAGCCTTGTCACACTTGCAAGGTGGCAACCTCCTATTAGTTTGTAGATGATTCCAATGTGTGTGTAATTTCTCATGTGTCATCCACATCATTTAAGCTGATTTAATCCTTGCAAATGATCAGCCATTGACTTTAAGGAGTGTTGACCCCAATTGCCCAATTGATGTATAAGTCACATGCCACCTATGTCATATAAATCACATAATTCAATTAAATAGCATGTGATATAATAAAATCTAATTAATGTCCAGAATTAAATTCATGGCTATGCACCATCCATTGCATTTTTTTACCCTAACTGATGGGCCCCACACACTCCTTCATGCACCTGTCTTTAAACTTCTATGTACTCAATGAAGGCCAAACATTTAAGTAATAACTCGTTAAGGCCCTTCTTGTACAACTCATCTCCAATTAGAATGAAGTGTTGGGTGCGTATCCATGTTCATAGGGATATCGTTGGATGGGATTTTGCAACTAACTTTTGAAATCAACTCGCCAATCTTGAGCTAATTCTTATGAGATCACACGATACTGCATTCTCAAACCATGCTGAGAAATCAAATGATGTTCTTTTCGTTCCACTATAATTATTTTTCTGGTGAGCTTGGGCGAAAGCCTTAGCACTGATGCTATTTAGGCTAGTTTATTAGCTCCCCAATTCTGAGCTTAAGGAATATGTGTCAAGGTTACTGTGTGAAAATCTTCTAAGATTTATAAAGCCCCAGCATAATACATCGCTGGGACCAGGCTCTTACACTTATATTCACTAATTAATTGCTCGATGACCAATTGAGAGTCCCCTTTTATGACTACCTCGCGGGCTTTCATTTTCTGAAGCATCTCTTGTGCCCTATGAGTAGTACTTCATATTTAGCCTGATTGTTAGTACATTTAAAATCTAATTGGAGAGATAATATAGTTTTTACCCCTAGAAGAAGTTATCACTATTCCGGCCCCAGATGCTTGTTCTATGCTAGGCCCATCAAACTTAAGCACCTAGGGCCCTGGATCTATTGAGAACACAAGTAATTCTTTTTCGTCTTCAAGGAGCCCAGCTAAGGGATAATCAACAAGGAAATCTACTAACGTTTGGCCTTTTATTGACTTTTGAGGCAAGAATATTAATGAAAATTCCACTAGGGCCAAGCTCCACTTCCCTATACAACCTATCATGATTAGCCAATTAAGTATATACTTAATTAAATTGGAATGCAAAACCACATATACAACTATGTTTATTATATAATGCTTTAGTTTGGTACAAGCATAGTACAATGCTAAACACGCTATTTCCACAGTTGAGTATCTAGCCTCTGTGGGAGTCAAACACCTACTTAAATAACAAACCGCCCGCTCACGTCCCCCATCAATAGTTTGGGATAACATACATCCTATGGACATAACGGTGGAAGCTAAATATAATAAGAATGAGGTGTTCTCCCTTGGGGATGTTAAGACCAGGGGCCTTATCAAGTGTTCTTTCATTTTGTCAAAGGCCACCTGATGGTGTTTGATCTAGGTGAATTTCTTGGCATCTTTAAGTTTTATGATCTCAGAGAATTCCTTCATCTTCCCAACCAGATTCAGAATGAAACATTTGAGATAATTGACTTAGCCCAAAAACCTTTAGAGCTCTTTTTTATTGCTTGGCGCCTTCGCTTTTAGAATAGCCCGTGCTTCATTGCGATTTACTTCAATCCCCCTTCTATGGACTAGGAATCCAAGGAAGTTACTTGCAATTACACCAAATGCACATTTAAGTGGATTTAGTTTAAGGCCTACTTCCTTCATTCGAAGGAAGCTCGTCCTTAAATGCTCGATATGATCTTATTCTTTTTTCGATTTGATCATTATATTATCTATGTATACTTCTAAATGTTTTCCTATCATATCATGAAAGATGGCATTCGTAGCTCCCTGATAAGTAGCCCCGATATTTTTCAGACCGAATAGCATGACTACCCATTCAAATGTTCTAATAAAGCCCGGGTATAATGTCCTCGATAAGATTACCATAGAATCCATCACAATCTACTAATTCATACGAAAACCAATTATTTAGAAAGTTTTAGGATCCCAGATAAAAATTTTTCAAAATCATTTTATAAATTACTCAAACTATATAACCCTACACAGTGGAAGCATTATGCAAAAATTCATCAAAGATCAAGAAAACATGTGCATTTTAATCAAATTAGGTCAAAATAAGGGCCATGGTTCACGGCTTGTGCCACATGCGTCGCAGCAAGTGGCACAGAGACCAAAGCTACCTACTTTGTGCCATGTGCCACAGCATGTAGATACACACCTGATTCTGCTGTCACACAGCAGTTTTTAGTGAGAACTTCAAATATGCATTGTTTTTGCTTCCAATGTTCAGTTGAGGTGATTTAAGTGCCCATACGAAACTTGTTTCAAAGTCTAACTAACGACACTAGTTTCTTTTTAATCTAATATCCCCGTTTAAAAATTAGACACTTAAGTACATTTTGACTGTTTTATATCAAAATTTGCTACTCGAGCATTACTAATTGAAACCATATGTCATTAGCCGCTTTTAGGGCCTTGACCAAAAGACCCTCAATTGCTACTCGGCTGGGGTTCCATGAGGAGTGTTGGAACCTAGTCCAAAAGACCCTCACTTGTCACTTCCCATCAATGTTATGTAGCTTATCTGTCTTGTTTTTAATTGACTAGTAGGTTGCAACTTGTCTTTACTCTTTTCTTTTAGATCTGCAAACTTGTTGGTTAGGTTCTAGATTTCTCTTATTGCTTTGTTCTAGATTTGTAAACTTGTTGTTAGATGTTCTCGATATGCAATTTCAATTTCTCCTCTTCTAATTTTATCATGCTTTTTTCAAAAAAAAAATTGTGATATTGCAAGAAAATACAAGCTAGTCCAAACCCATTTTACCCCCGTACGAGCAAGCTCTACCCATTTTTAAGCAGGTCAAAATGAGCTAGCCTTAAGTATGAGCAAGCTCATGTTTGTTTTGACTCATTTAGGTAGATACTGGCAGCCTCTTAGGCTAGTCCATCCCACTTGTTGCTCAACTTTGGTGAAAATACATATAAAAACATTTTTTTTATTTGAATGAGCATTTGCAAGATAACTTTAATGCTTGTGTGTCATTCTCCCCACTTTCTTTTGCCAAAAATGAATCGAAAACACAGATGAAGTTGACTCATTTTTAAAGAAAGAAGAGCTCATGCACGCATTAAGCTTGTGTCCTGTTGCTCTTGTCTCGAGTACCTCTTTTACTTAAATTTAGGTGGCTTTTGGGATTTGATATTTCACTGAAGTTGGAAATAAAGGTCAAGTCTAGAGGATCAGACTTGGATGTCCTATTAAGATAAGGGTTTTAGCTTAAAAAATTGGTGACTTTTTGAAAAATTGAGCTTTTAGGCCTAGCCCTAATAGACATTGAAAAATAACTCGAGTTTGGGTGGTCCTTCAAGTTCTCTTCCTCAAAATATCAATAATTTTTCAAGTATTTTGTTATCAAAATAATTATGTTGGTCCTTTTGTCATTTATTTTAACACTATATTGTTAGATTTTTATTAATTTCTTAAACATGATTACTTTGTAAGGCATATTTCTTAGTTTTGATTAATATCGTACTCTATAATAAATAATTTTTTGTATTTATTAAATTTGATAAGGTTGATCTAAATTGAAATTTTATATTTTCACTTTAAAGTTTGATTAAGATTTTAATTTATATTTATATTTATTTATTTTATTAAATTTTTTTTAATTTTTTAAAAAATAAAATAAGCTTACAAGTCTTGTTTTGATCTCTTTAAATAGAGCTCGAGTTTCAAAATTAATATTTTTTAAAAAAATTAAACTTAAGAGTTTGAGTTTTTAAGGCCTGAGTCATTAAGGGCCATACTTACCATTTTTTCCCATCTCCATATCCCATGTACTGTAATAGTAAAATTCACTTACCTTCTTATTTAGATGAGGATAAAATATGGATGAATAAAAATTAAAAAAAAAATAAATTTTAAAAATGAAAAAAATATTTTTCAAATAAATTTATATATCAAATTATGGAGAAAAATTTGTGTCAAATTAAATCTATTCCTTCCTTCAAATTTCGCATCCAAAAAATATAATACAAGAAAACAAATAGCAAGAACATTTTTTTCCCGGGGAAAAGTACTGAAAAACCAGGAGTTAAATGGCTGGAATTAGATCCACATTGACCCAACCCCCCCCCCCCCGGGGATCAAACCTCAACAACTTCTTCTTCTTGTTAGATTCTCATTACCTTCTTCCCGGATTGCATCAAACCTATATTTCTTCTTTTTCTTCTTGCTAGATTCTCATTACCTTCTTCCCGGATTGCATCAAACCTATATTTCTTCTTTTTCTTCTTGCTAGATTCTCATTACCTTCTTCCCTTTCACTTGTTTGTCTCCTCAAACAAGGCTCTCACAACGCTTCGCACCGTCCCCAGGTTCCAGATCCGTAAAAGAGATTTCGGTCAATGAATTCCCTTTTGATGATCTCCTCGACGACTTCATCGACCCGTCTCCGTTGGACGTCTTTGACTTCCTCCGACGATGCTGTTTCGGTGCCGCCGCTTCTGCCGCCATATCTTCCGACGATAACTCACGCGCTTGATTTGTGCTTCGGTGTCTTCTAGAGGTACGCGATGACCCACGAGTTGAAGAATCCGATGACGGATCCGTATTGGTGTGTCGGTGGCGTCGGACATGCTTCTGTTCGTCGGAGCCCCGTCGGGTCGGGGAATTCAAACTGGTGTCTTTAGCGGGTTTGGACCTTGGAATCTCCTTAATGCTACGGATCGCCTCACCCTTCATGTTGTTACTATTACCTGCGTATATAAGAGGCAAGGTGTTATTTGCTTTTTTGTTTTCTTTATATAAAGGATGCCTATTAACTAGAGATCAATATTCTTCAACCTATTAAAATAATCAAACATTGATCATCAAGTTTAAAAGATAGAACTTAACAAATTAAATATGATTAGCCTGTTTTTATAAAATTAATGAATAATATTCACGTATATTATTGATTTTAAGTTATTAAAAACTCCCAAAAAAAATTTAAATGTTTTTATGCCTTAATCATGAATAATATTGCAGTATATTTTTAATTATTTAATTTTATATAATATTTTATTTTATTTTTAAATTTTATGAAATGTATTTTTTTAATTTAAAATTATTAATTTTAAATGATTATTTTTTATATCAATTATTAATATTTTTTAAAAAAGTTAAGTTTAATACGTCAATATTTATAAATGTTTTATTAATATTATAAAATTTAATGTAAATAATGTTTATTATAAAACTAACTGTATTAAAATTAAAAAATTAAAAATATATTTTATAAAATTAAGAGATTAACATGAAATTTTATGTAAATTAAAGGGTTAAATATTTACTTTAGTTTAAAATTTATTTTTAAAATTTCATTTGATATATGGAAAAGTATATGTAATCTATTCAATAAGATTCAAATATATTGAAAGTGAAGATAAAAAGTATAATAATAATAATAATAATAATCTAAAATATGTAGTTTTACTTTTTATTTTCATCAATATTTTTATTATTATTTCAAAGAAATAAAATTGAACATGTTTCTGAATTTTTATTTTTTACTCATTTATTGACTTGTTTAAACTATTTTTTGAGTAAAAGCTTTACACTAAATCATTCATAATAATAAAAGTAGATGTACTGGGCAGAGAAATTAATTGTATAAACTCCCTTTGACACAATATTAAAAATTGATTATATAAACTTTTGACATAATATAACGTATTATTAACTACTTTATAATTATAAAAAAATTAATTTAAATCTTAATCATATTTTTATTAAATATTATATATAAATGTTTTGATAATGTTTGGTCAAAAAAGGCGCTTTGATAATTATAATTAAAATTTTAATATATCATATTTTTTTTTAAAAAAATGATATAAGAGTGTTGTTGAAAAATAAGAGGTAAAAGGTGTATTTTTATCATTAAAATATTCTTTGAAAAGTATCTAACATCATAAGGCTTAAATTATTGATTAGAGTAATTTTATTTTTAAAATAATTAAAATAGAAGTTTTTTTTTTTCTCTCCGTGAAGTTCCCTAACAATCAATATTAAAGTCTCAGTTAATATTTTTAATAGTCAATGTTAAAAATTTGATGGCAATGATAAAAATGTTTCATTTTAATTATTTAAAGGTAAAATTATTTCATTAAATAATTTAAAATGTTAGGTGCTTTTTAAAAAATATTTTAAAGATAAAATGTACTTTTATCTAAAAATAATTATAAAAATTAGTTAATGTTTTATATTTTAAATCAAGTAAAATTTAACTAAAAAATACATTATATTATGATTTGAAAGAGTATATTTTAATCATAATATTCTAAAATGCATGTAATTTTTTGGTTTAATAGAAAGGAAGCTTTTATCAATAAATCAAGACCTTGCGGTATCTCACTGGAATTTACTCCTGCTGCGGCAGCTGCTGAGAGTTCTGGAGCTTCTGACGCACTACTGTTCATTGTTGTCATCTACAAAATTTCCAAATTTCATGTCATTTTGTGCATATAGAGTAGGAAAAAGAATAGAATTACGCCCACAATAAGTGTCTTTTATGAATTTCTTAAATAAAAAATAAATGATTATCATAAAACATAAAATACATGTGCAAACTCTTGAGCACCCTACTACAAAAAAGTTTTATAAGTAGCATTAACTTATCTTTTAAAATTGTGTAATGTACAAGATGGTGCCTAATTGAACTTAGGTATAATGAAAAGCAAGAAAATTACAAATCAAGAATTTCTTGCCACTGATATAAATGCCTGAATTTATTAATCAAAAACCTTAAATATGAAAAAAAATGGTTAAATGGCAATTTGCCTCTAAATTATATGTTTAAAAATGTTTGAAATCCTAACTTTATTTTTAGTACAATATTCTCTTTCAATATTTAAAACAGTGCAAGAATTTTTTTTTATCATTCTCTGTATTTTTTAGGTCATTTTTAGACTTTTTTATATAAACTTCTAACTAATAGGCAAAATTAATAAGGCAGTATTGAAACTTTTTTAAAAATTAAAGAGAAATATTGTACTAAAAATAAATTTAAAATGCCAAACATTTCTGTACTGTTTTAAAGGAGAAATTGCCCCAAAATATCTTGATACAACTTATGATAACAATCAGAGAAATTAGCAAATCATAATTATTCAAGAATTAAAGGAACAAAATGAGAGATCGAACGCACACAAGTTGGTGTATTTGCCGATGGACTGTCCAATCCAATATGTGCAACATGCTTTACATCTGTTGGGAATCCAATCTGAATCTCCTCACCATCTTCCTTCTCTTCTGTAATTTTATTGCAAATATTTTCAGTTAAAACATTATATATAATAACTCGATAATTTGTCCTGGGTGATTAATGGAGGCATTAAAATTTACCCACAGTCTAATAAAACAAAATAAACAATAAATTAATAATAACTCTATATTGTTAATTTCAAACACAATAAAAATATGTTTATCATTAGCTTTGATGTTGAATGCTGCTGAAAAAATTATAGCATATTGGTATTGTTTATTTTTCATGATTGCCATTGATTGTTTAGATTGGATGGCCTTAATATAATTAACGTCATCTTTTTTATTTTTAATTTCAGTTATATCTTAAATTTGTAATTAGAGCAACGATTTTAGTCATGAGTTTGACTTTCTATACATAAAAAATATTTAAATCTGTTTTTTTATTTAAAAAAAAAGATCATTTAATACAAAGAAATATTATCTACATTGCTATTGGCAAACAATATGCACACACATGGAAATAAGGGAGACTGGACTTCCTAACTTTTCAATTTTTTTTTTTGGGTAGAATGTTAGGTTTTATATACTATCAGCCCCCTAAATTGACATATCACAAAAGTATAAAAATATTAGATGGAGTTATCATTTTAATTCTATATGTAATTTATTATGTACATATATATAATTCTCATTTTCAATGAGATATTACTACATATACTTTTAAAGAATTGATGACACTTGATTTTACTTTTATTTTACATTTGATAAAAGAAACTATGAGAATTCCTAACAAACTTTGTCAAACATTGCTTGATATCTATCATAAAATCACTTATTTAAAAGTTAAGATATTATTATTATGATGTTCTTCTAAAAAAAATTAATTACTTCTTTTTGTAATATGAATAGCTTTTACTATGATACAATTTGATCTCATAAATATAAAGATTTATCATAGTTGAGTATCATTATTGTATTGATATATTTACTATTATCATTTATTATCAATTAAAAGAATTTGGTAGTAAATTTAGTGAGCAAACAATAAAGCTTCTTAGATTGATCAGAACTTTAAATCTTAATGAAGCATTTAAATCATTCAATGCTTCAAAAGGAAAATGAATTTTTTGCCAATTTAATGTTAGTTTAATACTGAAAAAGAAATTGCAAAAAAGTTTATTATAAACAATATAATTAATGATTTTTATACCATGAAAAATTGAAAACAAAAACTTAATAAAATGAAGATACATCTTTATTTTTGTTGTACACTTGTAAAATTGAATGTGATCTACAAATGTTGAAATATTTATATTTCGTTAATGATATCTATAAATTTAACTTTTGTTTTATTGTCATATATGCTTTACCATCTTGACTCCTCTAATCAAAATTTTTGGCTCTGCCCTTAAATATGCATTCATGAGACTTCTTAGTTTTAATTAATATTAAAATTAGGAAATCCTGCCAACATTACAACTATTATTACTTAATAATTAAAATAAAAAATAAATATATAGATAAATAAATTGAATTTAGTCTGGGAAGTGAAGATTGCTCTTACCAAATATGTTGGTTATGTTATTTTTCAGTCCTTTAAAGAGGCCCTTCACCTTTGTTGTCATTGGAGATCTGTATATGAAGAAAGCTCTTTCGATATATATATATATATATATATATATAATTACTTAGCTTGCACCAATAACCTTTCTCCTCTAAGGTTGGTGCTTTCAATCTTCAACAGAGCAAATTAGATATACATTAACATTGATTCCTGAAAAAGAAAATCTAAATATTAATGCTTCTTCAATTGTCACAATTAATACATCAAATAAACATAAATTTCAATATTATTGGTATATATTCATTCAAAATATTTGATATAAAATATTGAAGATTTAATATATAGTGCAACTTATTCTTCCAAATTCCAATTCCATAAAATATATGAGAGGTCACGTAGTTCTTGGTAACAACATGAAAATTATTCGGCATCAAACCCTAAAATTTTGTGATGCCGTATGTATGTTTGTGCATAGAAAGACTTGCCCAACATTTTTTGTGCTGCAACTCTTGGACTTAGTTTGATCTCTCTAATGTACTTCTATTGCAAATTAATTTAAACTGTTCAGATTAAATTTTAATGATATAGGTTAACCTATACTTTTATAAACTTTTAAATCTATGTCATCAAATTCAAGTTAACAGTCTAAATTTACAGTATTTCTTCAATTTCAATAGAGGGAAGCCTTGACCAAAAAAAAAGAAAAGAAAAAGGTAAGCCAACTAAGAGAATTCAAGCAACCACGAGGAAACTAGCTAAAATTGCACATCTACATATCTTATCAAACGATGTATTGAATTTACGTACTCATCTAAGAAAAAAGAAATTAAATATGAAAATTATTATATTACCTTGCCATTGCAATGTGAAGTCGATCAGAAATCATCCAGAAGATAAAGGAAAAAAAAAAATGGAATCGATTAATTGAATGAACAAACTTGGTTGGTTATGTGTTTGATCTGTTCTCTTTCAGGTCTGAATAACCAACCAAGAAGAAAGGGACGTGGGTGTGGAAAGCCTCCAATGTCAAAAAACCAGTTCTTGTGGTTCCCAAGCAAATCAAAACCAACAAGCAAGCGCAGCATTAGGTTCATAGGCTATATTTGGACCATGTTCTTTTATTTTTGTGAGTACGCAAGAAAAACGATCGACACTCGTCAATTAGGATAGTGTAGATTGATTTAGCGTATCCTAAAAAATAACTTTACAAAAAGAAAAAAAAAAGAAATTACGACCAATAATTAATAATTAATTTGTAATGAAAACATAATATTAATTGTTAATCCCTGGGAAAGGAGAAGAGTACGGGGCATGCCATATTATTTGTGATTTATTCAATAAAAACATAACTTTCAGGTGGCATTAAATATAAATTGATTCCAACATTAATAATAATAGTGAGAAAAAAGACAAACAATTAAATATACATTCCGTTATAAAAAATAAATAAAAATAATGTTAAATGAGATTTTATTTACATAATTTGGGATATTTTAATTGAACATATCACAAATGGTGTGATACACTCGATCTACCTAATAATTTCTCTTAAAAAGATTGTTAGGATTTGATCAACGCAAGAGTAAAGTATCACTAAAAGTCCTTAAAAATTTACATTTCAGTAAATAAATACATATTAAAGAAAAGAATAATAACTAAACAAAGTCCAAACTACTATAAACATTCTATCTAGCTTATTAACGAAATGCACTGCACATGGAATATAAGTATTCCCTTCGGACCAAAATATAGAACACAAGTAATTAATTCATGATTTAAAAAAATTAGTTAAAATTTTAATTTCTTAAATTTTTTATATTTTTTCAATTATACCCTCGTTAAATATTCTATATAAAAGCTTTGATAATAGTAATTAAAACTACAATACATTATTTTTCTCAAAAAGAGTAATATATGAAGTAGAGGTATAGTTGAAAAAATAATCATAAAAGTTACCCAATATTCTATATTTTAGATTAAACAAAACTTTTAAAAGATGTCTTATCTGATATGGTTTGGAGAGAGTATTTGTTTCTTAAAAGTCTTACATGGACTATGACTTAACTATTTTAGTGTATTTTAATTTGTATACTTCAACAAGTATGGATCTAAACAACAATACAAAATTAGGGTTAAAAATAGGGTTAAGAGGGGGCATAAAAAAAAACACCAAAAGTTTTTTGAAAGGAGATATGGATATCCTTACACTTCAAAATGAATAATATTGTCTTAGAAGTGTTAAAAGTGAAATAATGTTGCCCTACACCATTAGAGAAGGAGAAGGACTGTAACACCCTCAACAATTTTTCTAAACAAATTAATTTAATCATGGTAAAAAAGTATCTACCATAGTAAATAAAAGTTAACTAACATCTTTTTTTTTAAACAATTCTTTAACTTGAAAGCACGATTATGGTAGAAAAGGGACTATTATACTAGACAAGAATAAAACATGATTTTATATAATATTCCACCTTTTAAAATGATTACAATGGTAGAAAAAATTAAACTAGATAAATAAGTACTATCATGGTAAATATAATTAAACTTCTTAAATTGTCATTTCTAAAATTTGATATCCCAAGCTTTTATAAAACAAAAGCAAATGTAAAAAGCCCATACAATTTAAAACATACTAAACAAAAATAGAATAGGAATTTAAAATTCATTATGAATTACAAAAAAAAAATTTAACCACGTCACAACCATTTCAAATAACAAACAACTATTCCTTCTGTTACATACATACAAATAAAAAAAAACAGAGTTGGATTATAGCCACCCAAAACAATTGAGGTACACAACATAAACATAAATTCATTTAACATTTGGCTTTGGGTTACGTAACACAATAACTTTATAAAATTGTCCTTAACTCCTGCCATTTAGGCTAAAATATCATTTTTCCATCCTTATGCTGCCTACAAATACAAACCAAAGTCAATTATCCATAGATAGACTAATTGGTCAAATTCAACAAACAGACCAAAATACATGGCCCAACCACCATGCTATTTCAAACTATCCAATATTATCAAATATTATCAATGCCCTCATTAAAATGTATCTCAATGATTCATAGTTTACAATTATCCTCAAAACATATAACATGCAGAAGCTATTCAAAGAGACATGATCATAACCATGATTCCATATGCTCAACATATAACAAAAGCCCTAACATTGGCAACAATACATAATTAAAAATCATAATTCAAACCAAAAAGAGACAGTGCATCCACACCATTAAGCCTCAGGGGCTCCTCCACAGGCCTCATTATGGCTCTCATCCTAAAAATTTTTAACCACATAATGAAACTCAAAAGTTCCAGTAACCAATGCTAATTTATGATAATGTATGCAAACAATTATATATGTGTTTGCTAAGTGGCAAAACAACAATATTATAATTTAAATAGAAATACAAGATATATTGTAATGCATGACACATAACCACCCTTATCTCCATTAGCCTCTAGTTAGGCTTGTAGGTTAAACCTTGAAAAAAATAGGCTAGGCCTATTTAATTAGACAGGCTTAATTAAAGGCCTGAATCTAGCTTGAGCTTATTTAATAAATAAGTTAGGTTATGCTTGAAGTATAATATGATGATGCGATGCACATTTAACCACTATGAGTATGCACTCTTGGTCCTACTAGCAGAGAAAACTATAGGCTTAAATTAGGACTTTCCAACCTTAAATGAAGTAGGGCCTACCGACCTCTTCTTTAAACTAGGGTATCACATATGATCCTCCTTGGTCCCATGAGAAAATCAAAATTAACGCTTGGACCACCAAGACTTTCTAACCTTATATAGAGTAAGACCATGACTCCTTACCCTAGATTAAGGTACACTCATCGATGCATTCTTAAGTTCCATTAGCGGATCAAAATCAATGCTCTAGATTATTAGGACTTCTTAGCCTTACACAAAGTAGGGCCACAACTCCCTAACCTAGACGAGGGTATAATTGTGGATGCAAATGCACATATAACACCACACACATTCCAAAAACCTTTACTTACACACACATACACCACTTTTCACAAAATTGCTACTTTATCATTTTATAAAAACATGGCACATATAGTTTATATAAAGTACTTGTAAATAATTCTACAAGATAATAGATAAAAGGATTAATCTAGTTAGCTCATACCCTTATTACCAAGGATTATCATTTTTAAAGAACCTCCTAAAATGCATAAATTTCCATGAACAAATCTCAAATGCTCAATCTATACAATCAACTGCCCTTGATCAATTCCCAATATTCAATACAAAGCATCAATTTAGCTAACCTCACTAGCATTCTTTAGGTTCACTTTGCCCATTCACCATAATCACTTACCCTTAGGGCATCCAAATGACCAAAATACCCTTTTTGCTCACTTAATAAGCACTTTAGCCCTTTTTGACTTAATAATTTTGGCCAACTGGAGCCTATACCTTTAAGGCTCAACTACTAAATCTCAAACTAATTACAAAACCTTAGTTTCACATCCAAAAGCCCTTTCCTACCTTTTTCCTTATAATTTAACCCCTTAAAACACCCCAATTTAATTTATCTATAACTTAAACTAAAAGAAATTACACTAGTACAGAAAATGCTTTCTAAACCAGTTAAAAAGGCTTATCAAAACTGGATCTAGAACCGGTTTAGATAAGGCTGGTTTAGAAAGTGTGAGACTTTCTAAACCAGTTGTACAACCAGTTTAAAAATCACTTTCTAAACTGGTTTGTTATATGCTTTAGAAAAATGCAGTTTCTAAACTAGTTTTATACAATAAACCGGTTTAGAAAGTTCTTGTTCTAAGCCGGTTATTACATTAACCAGTTTAGTACACATACTTTCTAAACTAGTTAAGGTTAAAATTGGTTTAGAAATCATTGCATACTAAACCGGTCTTCACTTTAATTGGTTTAGAATATGAACTTTCTAAATTGGTCAATGTATTAATCGGTTTAGAAAGTGGTTTGTTTGTTTTTAATATTTTCATTTGTTTTATCTTGAACCCCCTAATTTGTAGGGCAAAATTTTCAATAACCTACAAATGAAAACCAGCCAGTCTAGTCCAATCCAGTATAATATA